TTGTACAGCACTTATCTTTCAGCCTATTTTTGAATAAACTCGGTAAAGGCATCGTTTCCTTTACACTTTCTATTCTCGTTTTTGTATTCTCGAAAAACAGTTGATTGTTTCAATAAATGGACTTATACTTGTACCACGATCAACCCAGCACTCACGGCTGCAGTTGACTTTGCTGTTGCTGTTGTGCTCCAAACAATTACACAAAATGTCGATGGGTAAAACAAAACGACGACAAGGACTTTTCGTAGTTGTGGAGATCAGCGGCACCTTTACACCAATATGCAGCCACTGATGTTGCACTATTACTACTCTTCTCCACGATAATCCGATGGATCCCAAAAAATTCTTCACCTGCTGCACTGTAAATCGATAATAAATGGAACGGAGTATCGACCACCTAAAATCTTCTTCGGGACGTCGTCAATTATTAACTCGATTGCGTTGTATCCGTTGCTCTTCTGTAAGTGTTCGTCCCCGTTGCTGATGTTGTGTAGATGGTAAGGAGACGTTCATTGGTGGGTGGGGTAGATAATGTTGATGGAGTAATTAATATAGATGGTAAAGACATAACAGAATTTGTCAAGGCCACTACTGGCTTTGGATTTATCGATGATGTTGCTACTGATGTTGAAGTGGATTTTGTCACTATTATACAAATCCGTTGTGGTGTGATTACATGTGTATGCCTTATCTAAAAATTGCTAAAATCCATGGGCAATCGCACGCTGAAGTGCTGTGAGGAGCTTTGTAAGGTCAAAATTCGCATGTGCATTATTCATGATCTGGATCATGATCAAATTCCAAACTGTCCTGCGGAACAACTGAAACTAACTCATCATCTGCTAACGAAATTTACTCCAAAACAGGACAATCTGGTGCATGCGGATGAGTATGATTATAATACGGTCGAAATTCTTTTTGCATATTTCGGACATACACGAGATTGGACATTTTAAATAAATTAAATTGTCGAAATTTCTCTAATTCATCATCAATCCAACCCCACGCAATGAACTCGTGCTGTTGTTGGAAAATAGCATCACGTAATTGTTTTACCAGCTGTCCATGGGACGAGGATAAGGTTGGCAACCATTGAACTTTGATCAAAATAACTACCGATGGAGAACAAAACGATGGAACCGGGAGAATTTGAATCATTAATGATTTTGCTGGATGGTTGACGGATCCGATTCCGTATCCAAGACAAACGATGTTATTTTGCATGCCCTAATAGTATCAATCAAGTACTTGATTGCTGACTTCTTTGTCTGGTTGTTGAGGTAATAAATTTGTGGTACAATTATAAGTCCATTTATTGAAACAATCAACTGTTTTTCGAGAATACAAAAACGAGAATAGAAAGTGTAAAGGAAACGATGCCTTTACCGAGTTTATTCAAAAATAGGCTGAAAGATAAGTGCTGTACAA